GAGCAGTTCTATCAAAGCAAAGATCCCAGATGGATTCGTATTTTTGCTACTAATGAAATGAAAGATGCGTGAGTATTAGTCGAGAACATATGAAGTATCGCTGAAGCAAAAACCCACCTTGGAAAGCCGCTATGAGAAAGTTGGATAGGTGCCAACTTCGTGCGCTCCGCCATTTTCTGCCGTTCACCCATTTGCTAGCCGTGGAAAGCGTTTGATTGGCTGTGTGGTCCTTGCGCGATTGCCCCACAGGCTCGTCCGGCCACACCCACTCTTTATTTTAAGGGGAGAGGGGGAGTTCTGGTTCAAAGGCTTCATCGACGGTTTTCTTCGTTTTTTTTTCATTTTCAGTCAACTCGGCACCCACTATTTCATTATCGACCGCTTTCGCCCCACCAATTCGACCTGGGGTTATTGCTTCAAGTGGCGGGACATAGAGCGGTCAAAAATTGAGTTTAATGAACGCTGTTCTCTCTGCACTATGCAAGTGGAAGCGGCGTTCTGTCGTATTATCGAGTCATCCCTAGTCTCGTTATCGTCGATATGATCCTTCTCTGTTAAAACTTCTTGCCTGTTGGTCCTTGCTGACCCATAGTATAGTTAGGAGTCTAGGTAAAAAATTCCGAGGAAGATCGGTGCTCAGGGTCATTTAGTTCAACACGATGGCGACAGCCCATTCTGCACGCATCTCGGCAATTTTTTGTTCATTATTTTTCAAATAGAAATTACTCCTTCAATAATTCACCACTGGTAATTGGTGCACAGTTTTCCGGATAAGATAATGCATCCAGATGGTTTGAAATATGAAAATGCCAAATAAACCGACCAAAACGAGCCCCATCCGGGTGAGAATCTGACGCGCATGCGCGTCATGCTGTCGTCAACGTGTTAAGGACGAAGGATGATGCTCTCTGCAGATCTATTTCATGAGGTGGTTTCGCATTTCCGTCAATCGAGGCCTGCTCACTTCGACCGATCCTTCCTTCCTCACCGGGCGGGTTAATCAGTGTGGGGCTGTCAAAGAGGTTCAAACGGTGGCCCATACTCTGCACGTCCTCATGTATATTACAAAATATAAATGCGGCAGTGCATTCATATTTTCTTACAGATTTTCATGGAAAGTCGAATGCAGTGCGTATCCCAGCAGGAGCCATCAATGTTGACCTCCTTTTTGTTGTATCTGCACTAATACACAAATTTTGTAAGCTCTTACCTTAAGTACCGCGTCAATGGCCTTTTTACCCATTCATCGAGATTCATCTGTTGGATACCAGATACTCATTTCCCCGTGAAACCTCAAAGGGTTCGAATATAGACGGCGCCAAGCCAAACTGCGCCTGTGCCCATTTAAGAATCTCCCGACTCGATGGCGCCATTTTCTTTTCGGTGAGGTCCGTTGATGGGATCGCTAACAACGGGTTCCCCGCCCACCGCGATCCTCATCTGCTACAGCATTTCCGGCTTTTTTCGTTCATTGTCCTCCCCGTTTACTGCCTGAATAGTCAACGTATCCAATGTTCTCTTTTGCAAAGACCTATTATGCTTTATCGCAGTTTGAAGAAAGCGAGAGCGGTTAATGATCTTCCGGGAATAATTAGGCCATAACGGTAATGGAACCAACAGCTGACGTGTGGTAGTTGGCACCGCCCTTGCGAAGTTCGTGCTAACACCTACACAGATTGAGCTTCACCCTTTGAGCCCACAATTCTGCCACACCCTTCCTATGAAGGTGAAGGCATCGAGTCCACCATTAGCTAGCACGGCCTTCTGTGCTACATCCTCGTCTCCCACTAGTGGAGTGTTAATTTCGAAGATTCTTGGAAGCGGAGGTTCCCTTTTGTCGCCTCTTCTTCAGAGAACCTTCCAGAGGAGGCGTGAATGCACGTGTTGGATAGCCAGTTGAAAATTGCGAAATTCCTTGAATATTCGTTTGAGGGACCCTGTAATGCTTCCGCTGGGATATAATGTGGGGAAATTGTACCCTTTTTGCCATGACCGCGCTGGGAATCGGTAGCCAACCAGAGGCCTCAGAGTCAGTCACAAATATTTTGAACTCCCGGCGAGTAAATGATAACAGAAGGTTTGTTTATGGTTTGTGCTGACCACCGCTAACCACCGCTTCTTTATGAACCGATATTTTTGTACTGGTTTCCTTTTAGAACCTACACCGTAACTGAAATATTTGCTTTCTTCACGTGGCCATAAAAATGTTGTGAAACTTCCTTAGGCAATCGCTATAATATCAAAAACAATTGTTGTTGAACTTGAAGAGATCATTTAAACTATTTCGGAATGTTCACTAACAATATTAAACAACCTCATAATAAAAAGTGTGGGTAATCAATCTGCTTGAAAATTTTGTGCTTTTTCATCTGTATTTTCATGTAAAGAATTTGTTAATCGAAAATAAAATACGGCTTTGAGGAAGGCTAGCAATTGAATTTCAAGGCAGTAGTTCATAAGCCGCTGCCTAGAAACACTAGGATGGGCCATCCCCATCGATGAAAAACGATGTTGTAGAATTTTTATTTCCGCTTAGTCCTTCTTCTATCCTCTTATCCCTGGCGGGAGATGTCCCTCCATCCCTTTTTTGGGCCGTCCTAAAAAAAAAGGGGTGGAGGGAATTGTCCACGAGGATAAGAAGGAGAGGGAATGAGGTCCTCACAGAAGTCAGGGTCCGTCCTGACTTCCGTGAAGACCTTCATTCTGACCCTCCATCCCTCTTGTGGGACGGCTCATGGTCCCATGCGTTTTTATCATGGTTTTGTGACTGGGGCCTTCATCGGCCGTCTTTTCAACTTTGGGTATCACCCTGGTGTTTAAACCATTTTTGCAAATTCTGTGGGACATGGTTCCTCGTCAGCGATTAAACTCACGGCTCCGCTCGGCTTTCCCTGCCTGCTTAGTCCTTTTCACTATCGAGCAGCTCATTTTTTGGCAAACTGGTCTGCGGGTGCCAAGAATTCAAGGATAGTTGCATTTTGAAAGAAAATGCTCCTCCATAAAGGCTGGAAAGAAGTTACTAATAATAATTTGAATAGCCATTTAGAAAGATCATCTAATTTTTAAAGTCCTTCAAAAGTACTTTGTGAGGGAACGGCAATCTGTTCGCTCCCTTTTTTTCGGCTGGATCATAAATCATCAAGAAGAAATGGCCATAACTCACCTCACCCAACCCTCTAACGTAGTTATTGCTTCGTTAATGGTATTTGGTTGGAGCACGGCCTTGCCATGTGTGTTCATAGTTCGCTGATTGAAAACTGGGCCAAATATGTATCTATATCTAAGGAGTGCTGAACAAGTCTATTCAAAGCCCCTGTCTACAGGGTTTTTGTTGTGAAAAGAGATATCAGTGGTTACACTATCACTATGCCCGACATACATTATCAGTGGTTACACTATCACTATGCTCGACATACATATATCGATATCACCTACTGACTTGTTGGCCTTTCATATAATCTTCCAAATCATTCAAAAAAATTCCTCAAAAGTTCAAAATAGAGCGTGGGTCGGCGCAATCACAAGATACGGGGAGTTTATCAGAGGCTGAGCCTGGGAGGTGCAGGAGCTTCCCATCTTAAAAAGAAGTGGAGGGATGTACATATTATGTGGTTTCATATACATTGCCACCACAATGCCCCCTTATATTGCGATAGCGAACGTAGGTTTACATTTTGGGAGACTCCGCCGATTCGGCTACCACCATGAATCATGGAGGCTTGAGAATAGCCATTTGCCCTGCACAGCACTATGCAACTCTATGAGCTAGAATAGGTGCTATTTAGACGATCCATTGTAGTAGTCTCAATGGCTTGGTCTGTCAGGAGGAGACTCAATCCCATGGAATGCGCAAGTGTGATGCGACGCCGTACTTACTGCGCTACCGTTCAATATGTCTGGTTCTATGAAATTCCCCAGGACCAAGCTATTGGGATAAGAGCGCTCGATAATGAAAGCGGTGGTGCGAACTGAACCGCCAGTTTAAAAATAATTGAAAGAAGCCATCGAAATCACAGAAATGGCGAAAACTTGGCTCTGTAATGTGAAAGAGTAAAGGGTTAGACAGCGAGGTGAGGGAGAATGGGCGCCGAGAAGAAGAAGCAATTCTCCGAGATGAGTGAGCACGTAAACAGGCGAGACGACGTAGATGATTCCATACTACCACGGTGGGCGGGTGGACCAACGGATTAGACGAATCAGCGTTCCACGCCTAATGACATCGCTTCTAAGGCGTTCTACCATAACGGCGCCTTGCATCGTATCATCCACAGCACCTGCTCCTTTTCAGCTGCCCCGCCACTTCGCTCACAAGATCCTGAGTTGTCCCTTTAATTCGCCCTATTACTCTAAGCCTCAATCTGTTCTCCGCCGAAACACAGCTCGTTTCCTAGAGCACTCATCTTTGACCATCCTTTTCTTCTTGCTTTATTTCGTGCTTCAGGTCACATGGAATCTGCCAGTCGCTAAGCGCTGGTGTACCCGTCTCCGCCTATGGGCACGTGTGAAAGGCAGACTGAACTACTCTTCGAATTCCACCCCCTAAATAAAGTTTTTGAAAAAGTACATGCAATAATATACTAAGATCCAAAACAATTTAGTGTAACAAACTGAACAGTTTAATTATATACTAAACAAAATTTTTATTCAAAAACACATCAAAATCAGCCACAAATATTTTCATTTCAATACACCAGTTCCCCTTTTGCACAAGCAAATGTTCTGCCACTCCAGCGATTTCCTTCTACAAAAAATAGGATTACTGTTGCCGCGCTGAACTAGTGTGCTACGATGCCCCTTAATGGCGTCAATCGCTGCATATTCTTCCATTGCCTTTGTTTTTGTAATAATTTGCTTGAATTTTTGTGCATCGTTTATTTACTATATCAAATATTTAGTATGAAAGAACCGATTTTCCCATCGAGCCCGTTGCGGATGTATTTTCCTTCGCAGTCACGTCAGCGGTATTTCAGGATGCCATGATGCTCTATGTGGTCTTAATAATGGCTACCGTAATCTCGACAGGCCACCTTTGTCCATCCGTGTGCGACTGCACCGCGCAAGGACGTGTGGATTGCTCTCAACGTGAACTAGCCCAAGTGCCTCCCGGTATACCACCGTCTACCAGATATCTGTAAGTTTTTACGAGTGCAGATTGTATGAGCACATAGCCATTTGTGCACTTGCTCCGACTCCCGATATTGCCTAATATTATAGAGACTTGAGAGGGAATCTTCTGGAAGTTCTGCCTCGATACAGCCTGTCCGGATTGGGAGAGAACCTTGTACACTTGTAAGTTATTCTATTACTTATGAGGCTAATGTGCGATTATTTATTTATTTTTTATTACTATGCACTCGTAGGTGAGCTACAATAATTCGTCAGAAACCAAATCAGTTATAAATCAGAAACATTGATTTAAAAATCAAATTAAGCAATATTTTACCCACAAGCGGGAAGTTCCTCAAACACCGATTACTCGAAATCGTTGATAAGTGATTATCTGTGCGAAAATCAACGATCTCCATCAAAATGTACAAAAATAAGAACGTCTGGAAACGACTAATGCCAGAATTGAGGGCGTCCACTCATTCGAGGATGCACACAGGTTTGCGATAAAAACTGCGGACACCAAGGAGCAAGCAAAGCCGGCAGCGACCTCGGGCCTATACTCAGTGCTATAGAGGCCTACATGAACAAGGTTCAACAAGTTCGAGCTATTCAGTAGATCTACAGGAAGAATGGGACTGACGTTCCAACCATAAGTATCGATTGGGCCACATGGGATGAGAAGAAAGTTCCTGTGACACATGGCGTAATGGTAGTGTGTGGTAGAGGTTGATAGAGTGGAGAGTTTTGGATTCCTGTGACTCCTAGCAGTTTGGATTTCCACTCATACATGGTGCGGATAATTATTGATCATTTTTAATGTAATTCATTATCTTTTACTATCTCATTGATTATTTTTATCTGTTTATCTTTTATGTTCTTTATCTGTTACTGTTTATCAATTTTATTGTCTAGTACTTCCTACCTGCATTCAAAGTACACCAATATCATCAAGAATTATTCTATTGAAAGTAAATGAGATCCAGAGCAAAAGAAAAAATTGCTTCACCGTTATGATTATACATATTAGATATAAAATAGTGATTGCCCATACATATTTGACTTATTTTTTATTTATGGCCGCTGCTTTTAGCATGTGCCAATCTCGCCTTACGAAGTGTTTTATAACGGTTAAAGGCACAACCCAGGCAGAGTTCGTGTGAACGCTTCTCTTCGGTCACTAGTATAGAACCCTAGAGGACAATCACAGATGTGGCGTCCTCGTGCACGAAGACCGACCGATAAGAGCGCTTAGGCCTTGCAAAGTAAGCTGCCCAAGCTGCAGACTTTTTTTCTTATCAGGCTGTTGTCTGGCGCTCTCTCATCTGTAGCGCTCTCTCGCCCCATACTCTCCTCCGCGCTTAGTCTCTCATTCCCTTAGCACAGCCGATTAGGAAGGTGAGTGAGCCCTTAACCTAAGCGTTTTTGACGGATTCTTTTCCTTTTTTCTTTACTGCCGGCCCACTTCCCACCAGTACAACCACATTCGTGCACATGGGCCACACCAATGTGATCCTGGGGTAGGCCTTTAAACTTCACCGTTATGATTATACATATTAGATATAAAATAGTGATTGCCCATACATATTTGACTTATTTTTTATTAATAGCCGCTGCTTTTAGCTGCAGCTCGCCTTGCGAATGTTTATAATGGGTTAAAAATGTGCTTTAAATGTATTCCTTTGAAAATTACATGAAGAAGTCAATCAAATGAAATAATTCCAAAGACTTGGTTTTTCTATCCGAAGGCTTCAGGGTATTTTTTTAGTTTCACACTTACAAACATTGCAGCATTTGGTGGTTTTAGGGATCTTTCGAAAAACAATTTGCGGAACATCGATCCCAATGCATTTCGAGGCCTCAAGAAGTTGCGCACACTGTAAGTTGATAGCCTTTTATATTTATTTTTCAACGTCTTACATTTGTGTACGAAATTCGCCATCGGGTTTGATTTTTTGTTCCTAATAACAATTCTGATGGGGAGCAGGGTGTGCCACATACTGCTCACACGGTCAGGGATCGAATCCTGGATCGCCTGCTGTACAGACCAATCAAGCCTTCCATTTCACCAGAGCCTTGGCACCACACTTTTCTGGCAGGATAAAATGCTGACTTGTATATCGACTGCCCCTCAAGCCATTATGCAGGCCAAATTGCACTCGAGACGCTACCGCGATTCTGAATTGAGGTTTCGTGCGTGGCGCATCCCGTAACGGGACTGGTAAACGCCAGTTCCTTTATTCTTCTCGCGGATGAAAGCCTTGGAGATGCCTCCTTGCAAAATTGCCCTAATTTCGGACAAAATGGGTTCGGAAATTCCGCTCTTACCTAGTGATCTCAAAAGCAACTAAACTTGTAATTATCAAAGCTGCATGTAACATAAGGAATGTTGTTCGATTTGATTCACATAACTTTGATTTTTAGAAATCTGCGTCGTAATCACCTTCGTTCCATACCGAAAGGCCTCGATGAAGTGACGCTGCACAAACTCGACCTGTATTTGTTTACTTGTTTGTTTACCTGGTCTTCCTACCACAACCTAAGATAACGCAGTGTTATTGTAGGCGGCTTAATCTGATATCATCGTTATCACCCGCCGACGTCATGGCACTCTCACAAATTCGTTCAGTGGATCTTTCGAGGAATTTCATAAAGGAATGGCCACGAGTGAAAGAAAAATTGGCCAACACTTCATCGAAGATTGAGAAGTTGTAAGTTGTAAATGTGACCAGTTGTAATGTTTTACGGGATTACCTAAGGGCAGAGGTA